AGTCGCCCTGGCCGACTACAACCATCCCCCTCCTGCCCTCCGTGTAGAAACCACGAGGCACCTAACTGGTTCTCCTCAGAGGCCTGGTGCTTGAACGCTGGGCTTTGTGCCCTCCATCCTGGGGACACCGGTGTCCCTGCAAGCTGTTGCGGGTGCCGTTCCTCTTGCCTTCGCATTGCAAACCTGAGGACTAGCAGAAAGCCGAGAGCTGAAGTCTTAAACAAAACCACAAAGATCCCGGAGTTCAGCTGCCGTTGGAGGGGGGTCTTCTCTGTTTCCTTGTGCTTAGAGGGGTCAGAGCAACAATTAACAGTTACTGCACACGAGCCTTTGAAGAAGACTGTGGGGGCTCCCTTCGTCCCACCACGCTTCGCATCGCTGCGTCTTCCCTCCGTGGCTGTGCTGCACAACGCTCGTTGGTTGTCCGGGATACGGACAGCAGTGCCCTAGAGCAGCTGGGAGAGAGGAGAGGTTCTAGAGTCCGTATCCCAGGAGACAGCCTGCCCGGGGCGGGAGGGATACTCGGCTGAGACGGGATATTTCAGCCACTGTTTGAGCCCTGCTGTCAGACAAGCGCACTGCAGGAGGGGGTCGTTGGCAGACCCCATCTTTGTTGAGCGAGCTGGTGTGCGCACCGTCCCTGCCAGCGCTGGCACCGCTAACCCCGCGTGCAGGTTCCCGCCGGCCCTGCAGGACGCGGTGGCTGGGTTGGCTCTGCCGACGGCAGAGGTGGCCCAGCGTGATGGAGGCGAGGCTGCCAGGAGCCGCCGTCCTCCTCTGCATGGCAGCTGTTGCCCACGCGTTTGCGGTCGAAGAGAAAGGAGACGTGTTCAAGAGAACGGCTTGTCCTGCTTTCCTGATGTTCGAGAACGCCGCTTACTTGGCTGACATGACCTTCGAGCTCCCCTGCAACTGCAAGCCCGAAGAGGTCTCCTCTGTCGTCTGGTACTTCCAGAAGAACATGGGCAGCCATGAGACCACGGTCCTGACGGACTTTGCCGGCACCGTGGTTGTCGACTCGGGACATATCCGTGCAGGCAGCGACGTGCTGAAGCGTTTCAGTATCCGGATGTTCAGTCTCATCGTCTTCCGAGCCCAGGTGACGGACTCGGGACACTACCTGTGTGGCACTAAGAAAGGGGACTTCTTCTACGGCTACGACGTGGACGTGCAGCCCACCAAGCACATGGTGGTGGCTTTTGTGGACAGGGGCCAGCACGTCCAGGATGACTACGCAGAGAAGGTCTTCAGCCTCTTCACCACCTTCTGGGACTGGACCAGATGCGACCGCTGTGGGGTGAGAGGCGAGCAGCGGCGGATCGGGCTGTGCTACGTGCAGAGCACCCAGCTGCACCCTCGCTATCGTAGCGCCGTGCCCAACGTCACGTCCTGCGGCTCAAGGGCTGTCCCTGCACATTTCCAGTGCCTTGGCTGCCTCCGGAGACCCGAGGTGGCCATCCGAAGCTGCCTGACCCCTTGTCGGAAGGCAGAGGTGCCCGAGGAAGGCGTGCAAGCCATCTCC